ACTCATTAGGCCACTTGTATAACACTTTTAAATGCATCAATTTCACTAAGAAATTTAAAGATGAATACTTAGTGCAGCCCGGATACAATCCCACCTGGAGCTCAGAAAGTAGATCTTTAAATTCAGCGTATTGTGCATCTTCTAGGTCCACATGCGTCTCATCCAACATTTCATGATCATCATTAATCCCAGCAACATCTTGTAAGACTGCAAACATCTAGTCTACTGGTTGATTAACTATTGGGTCGACACCTGAAACCGCTTCTACTTCACCATGGTGAATCCATGTACTATACAATGGATCAAAACCAAATCAATGTATATGCGCTCTCACAATTTCTACTATATGCATTTCATGGTTTCTACATTTTACACAAGGACAGCTGATATGGCCACTTGAAGATTCATAATTTTTGGCAACCTCAATAAAAGCAGATAACCCATTCCAATATGGATCCGACAATCAGTTCCTCAAATAAATCCAACTGTTGTCAATCGGCATTTTAACTATACACAACAACAGACACAATAATTTATTAATGTGTTTAATTAATTTTAATTTTACTCTTTATTAACACAATTAAATTTTATTCATTAAAGTTTGTTAATGAACTTATTAAAATTCTCGTTTTCTAACTAAATTTCGGCAGCATAACGGCTTATTTTTCTTATGATCCAAAAATCTAAACCCATAGAAAAATAACTTTAAAAGATTTCGGCACACCATAGCTGCAAGATGTGCCACCCAAACAAGAATCACAAACATATACTAAATTTCAACAATATAAGAAAATCATAGTTCAAATATCAAAATCATAATCGCGAATTCATACAACCAAAAACTACAACAATTTTAAACTAAAAGTACAATAAATATAAAAAACTTACAAAGTTCAAACCCACTAAACAGGGGCTGAAAATAGTGGGATTACATCAGAGGAACCGGGCAAACAGTGACGAAGGTGAAAAATCAAACGCCTACATCAAATTGAAACATCGAACATAATTTTCAAACACCGAAATTAACATTTTATTAACATCTAAAGTAACATATAGACACAATTCTTGATTAATCAATGCAAATTTAAATTTTCACATTCTCAGAACCATAAAAAATGACTAAACTCGAACAAAATTCCCAAACAAAATCCCCAATATTCAACTCATAGAGCATCAAAATTCTCGTAACTCAATCCAAGCACATACTCGATAAGCAAAACAAGAGCAATAAAATTTTCTCGAACGTGCACGATTCTTCTTCCATTTTCCATTTTCTCAGCAACCAAACAAAATTTACAAAAAGAAAAAAAAGGAGAAAACCCAAACCTGTCAGAGGGGAAGAAGAGAGAAGGGGTCGGAAGAGAGAGAGAGAAAGGAAGAGAGAGAGAAGAGGGCCGGCGGCTGAGGCAGCGACGGGAAGAGGAGGCAAAGAGAGAGAGATTTTGCAGGAGTGGGAGAGAAAACGTTGGGGGAAAATGAAGAAGAAGAAGAAGATAGGGTATATTAGATCAGACTTATTTACAATGACAATGTCGTCGCAAATAAATTTAAAATGTCGTCGCAAATACGTCACAGCTGGCAATTAGTTGCGACGACATAATGTCGTCGCAAATAATTTTTGAGTCGTCGCAAATAATCATTTTTCCTTCATTTAGTTTTTGGTGAAATCTTATAAAGATTATTTGCGACGACAAAGAGAAAATGTCGTTGCAAATAACATGAAATTATTTGCGACGACATTTGTCGTCGCAAATATCTTATTATTTGTGACGACTTGTTGTCGTAAAAATGGATTACCTTGGCGGTAAAAATCTGCGTCATTGAAATTTACGCTCCAAAATTATTTGCGACGACATTTAAGTTATTAGCGACGACATGGTTATTTTATTTAATGGGGAGTAATTGTGACGACATGTCGTCACAAATATCGTATTATTTGCGACGACATTTGTCGTCACAAAAAATATTGTCGCAAATGGCCTTTATTGTTGTGCTCACTCACTCTTTCATTTCCTCACCTTGGTTCTTCTTTTAGGCCAACTTTCATGTTGCCCTCTTTCTTCTTTACTTTGTTTTGTTTTTTCTATTACAAAAAATACATAAACGGTTTGTTATACTTATGCTGCATTATTTATTTAGAAGGCTTTTATTTTTGAATCTTTCATGCAATAGACGCCCTTCTTTCTTTTTCTTTTTCTTTTTTTTTTCTTTTTGCTTCTTTCCTACATATTTTCTATGATTATATTTTTAAAGGAAAATTAATTGAATTTATTTTGACATGTAAGCAAATATTGATAAAGTAGGACAATTTAGAATTTTCATAGAGTAAACTCGATAAATTCCACGTGTATTAGATTTAGTTATGGAATAAATTTGGGATTTACATAATAAATCTTGAAGTAGATATATTTTCTAAAACTCTGTAATTCCTGCTTTAACATATGCCTTTGCCTGCTTAAATGTAGCAAACAGATACTTGAAGGTGTGTCATTGATTGCTTAAAGAAGCGTCTTGCCATGTAGCTTTTAAATATGGACTTTATTATACATGTGTCTTTCTTTTATCCATTTATGGACTCATAGGTTTTTCAATTCAATCCAGAATTTCAGATTGAATTGGATTTAACGGATCAATCTGACGAATCGATGTATTTTGTGTTTTATAATTAGCAAACAAATAGATAACCACTACATAGATAAGAGCTTAATTCCTATCTTTCTTTTCTTTTTTCGTTTTTCTACCCTCAAAGTATTTAAGGATTTAATGTATGTAAATGATGTCAACTCTCTTTTCTCAAATATATAGATATGTTATTAAGGTTTATCTGTTTTTCTCTTAGCATTTTTTTATTTGGGACTGTTTGTTCACACTTATTTGACCATTAATTTGTTTATTGATAAATTTTTTGTATATTTCAATATAGATATGTTATTAATAATATAAAATTTTTGAAGATTTATTTTTGGTAATTAAACCATCATGCACTTTCATCATAATACAAATATATGGATTCTAAAACTTTAGCTGTCTCTATTTTTTCATCATCATGATTTCTAATTTTTTTTCTAAATAAACAAATACCGATTTTTGAATTTTTTTTCTGTTGAATCTTTGGCCTTGCACGCACAATCTTTGGACGTGCTCCGAACTAGTAAAGATAAGGGTTTTGGGCACAATTGCTCTTAAATTTGTTGCGATTTAGTAAATTATCTCTTAAATTTTTAATTTTAGTAAGTTACCTTCTAAATTTATAAATTTGTTACAATGTACACAATTTAACTAAATTTGTTCAAATTTTTATTAGATTTAAGAGATTAAGGGCTTGTTCTTTTGGAGTTTAATTTGAGTATAATTCTTGAGTTGAATTTGAGTTATAACTTAAGTTGAACTTCTAACTTGAGTTTGTGTTTGGTTGTATACATTTGAGTTATGGTTTGAGATAAAAATCTTTTTGAATTTGTGTTTGAGTGAGTCAAAACTTGAATTTGTATTTAGATAGTATTTTAATAAAAACTCAATGCTGATGAAAAATTTGAATAGGGTATATGGGTTGGGTTTTATTCATCTTTTCATTGTCAACACATAGACAAAAATATCATCTCAATCAGAATTAAAACGAAAAAGTTATAGCATTTTTAAGAATAGAAAAAATACTGTTCATTAATTTGAGTTCGAGTTTCTGAACTCGAGTTGAAGGGGAAATTTGAACTCGAGTTTTAGTCATAAACTCGAGTTAAACTTAAAAGAATATGAACTCGAATAAAGTTGTAACTCGAGTTACCTTTTTTGAGTTTTTCACTCAAAAGAACAAGCCCTAAAAGTTGAGATATTGAAAGATTTGTGTTGCATTTGAATTGAAATGTTAAAGTTTTTAGCTTTTAACATAATCGTCGTCAAAATGGGGCATATTGCATCAACTTTATAAGTTGATTAGGTAACTTACTAAAATTAAAAATGTGAGGGGTAATTTACTAATAAGTTGAGGGGGTAAATACGTCAAAGACCCTAAAGACAAATATGGAGAGGAAAAGTGAACAAGCGTATACCCTCAAAGCTATTATTGGGGAAAAGAATCTACTCTCTTGCCATGCTGGATCCACATATATTAAGCCCAATTAAGCTGGTACAAATTTGTACTGTTATCTATCAGAAACGAGTACAATTTGTACTGTTTTTGACTTAGCTAGTTGATGTTCAGCAAGATTTATTTGCATTGTTGTTCACAGCATCTCTTAAGATTAATTATTTAGTACAAAGATCGTACCTATAATACATATAGTTCACTTTCTTGGGATAAAAAGAGGCGCACATTATTATATATATATTCTAACACAGTTCAGATAGGCTGAAAAAATAAAAAACAAAGAAAGTCAGTAGGCATGTCCAAAAATTAAGTAGCACACGTACAAGCACCTCCTTTTTGGTGTGTGATAAAACAAGGGACATGAACGTGTAACATTTATACTTAGCATGAATTCTTTTTCCGTACAAGGGACATTATCATGCATTATAGGTAAAACAAGGGACATTATAGATAAGACAAGGGACATTATCATGTATTGTACATTTTACTGGATTATAGATCCTTTTGCCAATAAAGAGAGAATTAAAAATTAACTGCCGCTAGTGGTAATGACTACCAACCAGGTCAAACAGAGAGCGACTTGGAGTTTGAGAGGGCAATTGTTGGATTCCGCATTGTATATAAATAAAATTTTAATTTTAATTTTTTCTGCTATGGTAATGACTACAAAGATGTTGTTGGATGAGCTCATGCATTTGATGACTAAAAAAATGTTGCAACTTTAGTTTGCTCAGTCTTGTGATGTAGAACGTACATATTTGGTGTACAAAATGTCCTGTATATATACACACATTCGCAGGAGAAACAGCAAATACTTACCTATATTTTCGTTTTTTATGTACAGAACTTTATATATACTCCAATTGCTAGCACCAGTTTCTGCCTTCATCCTCACCAAGAGTACTTTCAAAACAACATGAACTCTCAACAGAGTTACAGTAAGCATCAAAATTGTGATCTTCCTAATTTTTTCTCCGAGTTTCTCGAGCTTGAAGGTTCGCAGAACCTCCCAATATTCAGTCCTGATTATTATTCTTCTGAAGGTAACTCCTTCACTACTATTGATCATAATGAAGCTGATGATCATCATCATGATCAGCAATCTCAAAAGTCTCCAAAATCTTCGGCCCAAGATTTCACAACAAGCCGCGCGGTTGGGACGGAGTTTCCAATATTTTCCGATGGACATCATCATGATTATATTCTTGATCATCAGGTAAGAATATTAATTGATTAATGCTTACTATTCTTTAATGGTACTACTTAATTAATTGTAATTAAGCTGAAGGGTTAATTAATAACTTAATTCTCATTTTGATTAGCGAAATGGGGTTGTTTTTTATACTTCTTCCAAGGAAGCTCCGAGAATTAGTGCTAATAAACAGAGAATAAAATGGACTGAAGATCTTCATGAGCAGTTCGTGGAGTGTGTAAATCGTCTTGGTGGAGCTGAGAGTAAGTAATACTAATATATACGACATGGTTTTTTTTATTATTTTTTATTATTTTTTGGCTCAATTAATACAAGGGAAATTGTTATTCAGTGGAGAATATTGATCAAGCATTTTATTATATAGAGGCAACGCCAAAGAACATACTGAAGCTTATGAACAAGAATATGTTGACTATTTTTCATATCAAGAGCCATTTGCAGGTAATTAATTTAATTACCACCACTTTCACTGTATTAATTAACATACGTACGCATTCATATGATACTTATGGAACTATATGCTTGTATATAAATATATCAATATAAGCCTGGCAGTGAATTTATTTATTTGCTTTTATTACTTTTTTTTTCTTTTTTATACACTTAAAAATCGGTTCAGTTAAATGAGTAGTCAACGTGATTTTAGTTCCTGATTCCTCATCCTTTGATTTTTTATAACCGCAGAAATATCGGACTTCAAAGCACATAGCAGATTATAAGAAGGGTAACCTCTTACAAACTATTTCCACCAAATATAAACTATAAAACATAGACTACGTAATTCTGATATGTTTGTTTTTGTGTGTGTGATCATATAGCACTTTCTTTTACACTAGTGTGGGCTAAAATTAACAACGAATGTTAGAGGGTTCCGCAGTATGGGGGCAATAGTTGGAGTTCACTTTCTATAGTTATGGTGCTTAATAAGTGATGTTGTCAAGTATTTTCATAGTTTTAATAGGAAATTTTTTTTAGCAATATGGAAGGAATTTAGGCCACTAATGCACGTACCAAATGTGTGTTGATAATTAGGGAGTGCATGGTAGGTGATGGCTTGTCTAATTTTGATGTTTAAATTGGTGTCTAACCTATCAAATCATACGACGACGTTTAAAAATTTTGAAATTTAGTTGAATTTTTCGTGCTTTATTAATGTTTGAGCCTATTAAATAACACGACAGAATATGATTAGTTAGACACTATTTGGGACACAAAAATTGGATATGTGATTTGAATATCTTTGCTCAACGTGAACTTATTGATAAGTTGCTATTTTCATAGTGTTCCCTTCACAGAGCTACAAATTGTTGATTATAACTAATAACTCGATATCGATACAAATCTTTGTGTTCTATATTGCAGAAAAATCTGAGAACATAGCCACTTCAGATGGCACACTGGACATGAAAAGGTATAATTTGTTTTATTGTAACCTCATGATTTAATAAAAAAGAAATATTCTAACATTCAAAACCATATTGTGTCTTTGACTAATTTCTGGCTTTAAATTGTTAATTTGGCAGTGGAATGCATATAAAGGAAGCACTGCAAAATGTCAATAATCGTCTTCATGAACAACTAGAGGTATATATTGATGATTTAATTTATAATAAATTTATCTGTTAATGAAATTGTGATCTTGAAATAATATCAATGTCCTTTTAGAGACAAATTTAAAAAAGCTGATTTCGAGGTCTTATATATATCTTTGGTCAGATTCAGCACAATCTGCAGCTGCTTATTGAAGAACAAGGAAAGCAAATGAAAATGATGCTTCAACAGCAACAAAAAACAAACAATAACCTCTTGATGAAGTCTATGCATATCACAGCCGATTCTCAAATGCAAGATGATCCGTGCAATAGTTTTTCGACCGCAGAATGTTCTGGAAGTTACCACTTTTCTAATATTATCTAGCCATCTGATGAGCCAGAAATAGTTTGTATTTACTCTAACTGGGGAATGTCAAATCCTAGTTATTCGCGTATGCAATAGTTTTGTAAGGCCTCTCGTTTTTACTGATTCACCTTTTGTAAAATTTATTTTGGTCAAGTGGTTTTCATGATATGTGTCGTTTCCATTTATAGGATACATTGTCGTTTTTCACATTATACTGCCGTTCACATGATATGCGTTCGTCTTCTCTTTGTTTCTGTAGTTTTTAAAAATGATGCGGTTTGTAATGTGATATGTCCTCGTTAGTCGTTCCTAGTCCCACCCAGTTTTGTTGTTTGTAAAATTGTATATCGTTTGGCCAATATGTTGTCGTTGCATCTTACATTATCGTCGCCCCCCGGGTAGTCATAGGCTTAGGCTTAGTTAGATACTGCTGCAGATCTTAAAAAATTTACTTTTAACTGTGTTGAATGAAAAAGCAGTTGATATAAAAAGTAGTTAAGTGTTTGATAAACTATAATTATAGTAGCTGTGCTGGTTCAAAAATTAGTGTAATAACGTTTGGTAAATTACGAGGTTAAATTACTGTGGATAATTAAAAACTACGACTATATTATATTATACTATAATATAATATATATAATTATAATATA